CATGCCCATATTTGGTTTTTATTTAAGCTCCATTCATTTAAGCTCTATCAATACATCAGCATGAATCCTCTTACATCTATCGGCACAACATGCAGTCTACTACTTAAGTAACAGATCTTCAGTTAGGTTTTGTAACAGAGCATATGTGAAGTGTTTTCTATGGATAAGAAACAACTTTGCGTAGTTGTGATGCTTTGTTTCCTCACCTTTCTCTGACTACAAGACACATTGTTGGTGTGTATTTTAAGGTTGCATCTACCATGGTAATCTGGAAAGGCATAATATAGCCTATTATAATTTATGGGACAAATTCAGTTTTCATTTCAATAATACCACTTCTTTCACTTAGAATCATGTTAAATATCTATGGCAATAAGTTGCAATAGGGACTCCTCCCAATATAATTGCCCCTATGTTTTTTTTCTTTTTTAGCTATGGCACATAATTATTTATATGTTGTCTCTCAAGGCCAAAATAAATACTTCCTGAGTTTGGCCTCTCATTTCTTCTTTTTCTAAATGTTAGATAGTATTAAAATGGTGAAGCTAAATTTCTGTGTAATGTGGAGACTTGGGAACTAATTTCTTTTAGAATGCCGTTCGTGTGTGAATAACGAAGTTGCAAGTTAGCTCCAAGTAGAGAATAATCCCTGCCTATTAGATGAGCTAATGGAACTGTTTCTTTGTCTTGATAATTGGTCATATTCAGGTTTTAGAAACAGTCATGTTTAAGTCATGTTATCTTCTTTGCCAGGGCTGTGGTGAAGGTGAAGTAAACTTTCTTTTCCCCATCACAACATCAGAGAAATCTAGTCAGCCAAAACATTTTGCTAAATACGAGCAGCCTTGTTCAAAAGCAGAAACAGATGTTTCTCACTGTGAGATTCAGATACAATTGACCCACTTCATAACCGCACGTTCACTGGTTGAGCTGCAGCCAGGTTGGCATACTGAGGTGGTGAGGGAGCTTAGTTTTGCAAACTGTGAGTTAGATCTTTGCCTCTCCTGGTGAGTGAATTCTGGCTAGCTGGCACTGGGTTCATTGTTAGCTGAGATTACAGAGGGAAGAGAGTGAATAATTTATTTTTCAGTTCTGTAGCCAAACGGAAAAGTTCAAAAAACAAAACTTGCTTTGTTTTGAGCCAAAATGTATTTTCCACTGACAAAAATTTACCCAATTCAAATTATTACTAATTAAAAATTATTGCTAATTACAAATTATTTTAGCAGGCCCATGCTTAAGGTGTCTCCTAAAGCTGTGTGATAATTCTGCAAATAGACTCTGCTGTCTGGCAACCACAGGTATCCCTGAACTCTTCCAGTATGGTTTATGACCTGGGTTTGCCATGGAACATGCACTAGTGTCATTTGTTTACAAGTCTTTAAGAAATGTTGAAATGACCTAAATGATTATTCGACAGTAACCTTGAATACCATTGTCTACAAATCCCAGTTAAGCTGCTTTGAAAATCAGGATATAGGCCCATCCTATACTCGTATGTAGAGGTATTGGTGAATGAATAAGATGTATGTTTTACACAGGAAAAAATTACGCAGTACATTTACAAAATGAAAAATTAATGAGGTACATTACTTAAATGCTGAGAATAGGTAGAATTTGGTAAACATAGACTGGAACATTTGCCATGAAAAATTCAAAATATTTTAAGCAGGTTAGTGTTGTGTGAACTGGTTTCTTAATAGTTGTGCACAACAATATCTATTTCAAACTTGTTTGACCACTACTTTTGTTTGTAAATGTGCAACTTCCATCAAGTTTAGAAACTGCTGATGCAATGCCAAGAGCAGAACTAAGCTCTAACTGTTTGAATTGTCAGATTTGATCACTTGTCAGTTACACTTGAAAATATAGTGAGACCTGCACATACAATAGGCATTCTCCAGCCTTAAGAATCCACTTTTGGGTGTCCCAAAGACAGTTTCTAGTACCATTTTCTTTAAAATAGTTCAAAATAAACCATTATGAGGCACTGATCTTTGCTGATCCTGTGAGTCACTATTTAGGACAGGTTTCACAGTATTTAAAACACAGTATTATTTGTCTTGGGCAAAGCCTGAAGTCTTTTCTTACTTTTTATTTAGTCCTTGCTCAAGCAAAAATCTTGTCAATCTTTGAATGTTCTATTTAAGTAAACATTAACTGATACAATAGTAACTTCTACGAGTGTGGACACAACAGAGAATGTTTATTCACAGGCTTTTTTTGCCTTGGGGGGGA